GTTTGTTTGTTTGTTTGTTTGTTTGTTTGTTTGTTTGTTTGTTTGTTTGTTTGTTTGTTTGTTTGTTTGTTTGTTTGTTTGTTTGTTTTACCGTGAATGACCGAAATCAAGAGCATAACGACTTTTACCAGTGAATGACAACAATTGTATTTCAATGGACGGTAATAAAATATTACTTAACGAACTCTGCTTTGTTTATGTTAGAAGAAGCCTCTCCACACGCTATAGAACCAGTTTTTTGTATATATTCAGAGTTAAGATGAGGCCTGTAAGAGGTAAATATTTACGTTTTGATTAACAGTATAGTTTGTCTGAAATAAGAACTCCCCTAGACATGTCTGTATGTAGTCTGGACCTGTGGCGGTGACTATGGTAATGAGGTATGACTATTTCAAGTAGGGGTGCGGGGTCACTGTTTTAGAGTGGTTTCGACGAGAGAAAGAGAATCGCCTCGGTCTATTAGTGTTAGTCCTAGAGTGAAGCTACCCCCCCAAAAATGCGCCATTCTTCTTTCCATAGCACCAGACTGCCCTAGATTTTGTGTCGGGAAGAGTTCTTAGCTTAGACAAACTATAGCTCTGTCCCAAAAGGAAAAGGTGACTAGATGTCCATTTATTACTATGTCCTATTTATTACTATTTTACACATTTTAATACTATGTCATTTTTTCCATCTTGATAGGTCGCTTTTAGCTTTAAGACCTACATTCTTATAAAAATGCATGTTTTAATACGCTCATTCACGCTTCCAAGTTTGTCAAATAATTGTAGAATCACCTTGAATCATTCGTTTTACAGTGAGGGGTTAACTTTAAATAGACGTGACAACTTTTACCCTTACCGAGGAAGTACTTCCTAAATGGCAGTGAAAGACTAATTAAAATACAATCGTAGATGTTAATGTTAACTTTTTATTGTTAATTTTTATTGTTAAATTAGTTTACTTTTTATTGTTAACTCTTTATCTTTTCATTGTTAACTTTCCATTGTTAACTTAGTGAACTTTTCATTGTTAACTTAGCTAACTTTTTATTGCTAATTCTGATAACTTGTAATGTTAAACATGTTGACTTTTCACCATTGCTATGGTTTACACTCACTCTCGTTTTCGTAACTTGCTCTCATATATTTGCATTGATTTATTTGTGTTTAACAAAATCATATTGAATTAAATTTATAAATTCGAGAATTAAAAAGAAATTTAAAAGACTCATTACCTCTTTAAACATAAAAAATTAAATACTATGACCAATCCGTAGTTGTTGGCAGCTACATGACACATAAAATATTTCTTACATACTTACATAATTTACTTATGTAATATTATATTTTTTGTATACTTATATAATTCAATAATTGAATTAAGGATAATTTAATAATATTTCAGACACTTTGAGGGGAATCGACCTCATCTATCTGTAGCCGATCCAAAGCTGCTTAGAGACATTTTTGTCAGAGATTTTCCTGTTTTCACCAACCGACGAGTAAGTTTCATTCGGTCGAATTTTTTTTTAACTACTCTTTTTTAATATGTAATCTATTATATAAACATGAAACCAGTGGTCGGAAGTAGCGCGCTACAAGTAGAGACTGTAAGATTTCGATTCCGTAAGATTATTAACTCTCCATTTTAATAAACAAAGAAAGAACTAATTTATAACAGTTAGAGAGAAGCGCGCCTATCTTGGCGAGTGGTGGTCGTTTTGGCGAGGAGATGTGGAGTTGGTCCGAAAAAGTTGAAATGAGAACACGGACTTTGAACGTTCTCTCGCTCGAAATTTTTTTATATATTATTTCTTGTGTTGAATATGTGTGTGTGTGTATTTGTTTGTGTTGTGGAAACGAAGAGTTTGAATAAATAATAGTTTCCAACCTGGACTATTTATTTGTGCCACACATTACAAGACTTTTTTCCGTAGTTTGTAGTGCAGTGCGCTACTTTTTTAAAGAAGTAGTGCGATACAGAAAAACAGTAGTTTGTAGCTATTCCCGACAACTACTTTTAACGTAAGTTAAATAAACAAACCAAGTTATAAACGAAAAGAAAAAAACATTAGAATCTGATTGGTGCAAATCCATGGCGGGCACGTCAACGTACGCAATGAGAATGCCTCTTGTGGCTGAGTGTTAATAAGATCTACGTCTGATGCTCGGAAAAATAGGTGTGAAATCCGTCGAATGGATCCGGAGAAATCGAATTTTAATTAACTGACTTACATAAAACTCAATTTCACAGGAATTATAAAGTACGTTTTTGTGTTTGATTTCGTTACTTAAAATATCATCTGTATTAATTAATTAGCACGTTGGCGGTCACCCCCTCAAATAATTGAGATTGAGACCTAGAACGTGAAGATCCGATTATTAGATTAAAAGTTATTCAGACTGGTCTGCTTTTTGTTTTTCGCACTGTAGTTTATTTCTTGGAGAATATAAAAACGAATTGATCATTTAAATCAAAAATATTTCATAATTTCCTAGCATTTCTTAAATCACTGTTGAGAAAAGCATAGAGATTGAAAGTTAAAAGAGCGCAAAAAGAAAAGGCTTAAGAATAAAAAAATTATTTCATGTAAACATGAATTAAAACTTCTTAATATCTCCTCATATTTAACCAGGCGGATTCTTTATTCAAAATCATTTTGAATATTGGCGAAAATTAAGTTCTCCAGTTAAGTTTGTTTTCTAAAAGTAGTTTAGTAGTGACTATGCATTTCGAAAGTAGTTAGTAGTCGCTAAATTTAGAAAAAAGTAGTTGTAGTTAACGACAATTGTAATAAAGTAGTTATGTTAACAACAAAAAAAGGTATTTTTTCCGACCACTACATGAAGCCTATAAACTAAATTATTTATTTCTGTTTAGTAAGGAACTGAGGTAGTCCAGTTGTTAGAAGTTCTGACAAAAACAGAGTAAGCCATGAAATTTCAAGCACGGAAAAGAAATTTTCAAAGTATCAAAATGAAAATAAATTATGAGAAGAATGTTCTCTTCCAATAATTTGATTACATTTTGATGTTTTAATTTTTTTTTCCAGCAATTTAAATTTCGTGACTTACTTTACGTTTGCCAGAACTCACTTTTTCTATACTTTAAATTGCATATGGATGTGAAACAGAATTTGCAATGAAAAGTTTCTCCCGCTGTATTCCGTCCTCTTAAGAGGAGGGCACTATTTAAAAGACACGATGCCATTTAGTTATAATTTCGCCCAGAAAGTCACCTTAAAAACACATCATCAGGAGACAACTTTGAAATGTCTTTGTATATTTACTTGCAAACGTCCTTTTAAAAAATATAAAAATAGACATGCCACAAAAAGGGGAGATTATAAAAAATTTTTATTAACTTATTTTCTGAATTACATTGTGGACTCACGCTTCGCTGTTAGAAACTTCTCGGATAAAATGGTTAAATAACATTTTATTTAATTGTTATTTTACCATACTCAATCAAAACATTCCAATAACCATACATGAGACGGTATTCAAACTGTTAACTGTGAGAAAAACAGTTTATTATCTGCTTTCACCTAATACGGTCATACAACCAAAATTTTATCGCATTAAATAGGCCTACCAAATGAAACTACATAGTTCAGTACATTGTTATATACTATAGCCAAGCTCGCTAATCTCACACTCTTTATGGTCGACAGAACGTGGGTTCGAGTCCCAGCTTTGATACCACGATATTTCCCTCATTCCCTTCAACACATGAAGAGTTTATAATGTCCTGCCCAATTTGCAACCATGGACTACTAAAATACGATGCTCTCATTCACGCATAGAGGGCAGCACCATAAAGCTGCTTAACACGAAAAAGTCTTGTATTGTCATGCTAATTATAAATGGTTTAAAAAAAACGTCCAGTTTTGTATTCGTGGTTTTTTAAGCATACTACTTGTAAAGAGTTTTAAAACCGTAAAAGTAAAAAAATGTTCCTTTCCGTAAACTTTACGGTTAATTGGATGGACGGACTGCTGCGGGTTATTTTACCGTAATTTTGGAATGAAAATTCTAACAGTGTTCAGTGATTAAGTGAGAAAGAACAAGTCATTAAAATCAGTCAAATCATTGAAGAAGACAGAGTGGAATACATCCAAACCAGATTTGCTGCCGCAAGAAATTTAGAGGCGTTTCTACTTATCACCTTTAAATGTTCATCAATCAAACAAGTTTTGATCTTTTCAGTCTTCCCCTCTCGGTAAATATACATCCGAATTTGGCAGCGTTTTCATTTTTTTTCCGCAAAAGAGAACATTAAAATTTGGCAGCGTTTTCATTTTTTGTTGTGCTTTTTTTCTAATTTATTTTGTACAAAATTGTAAGAATATGTATTAAAGTTGCCGGTAACAGTGCAGCCTATATTATTGAATTTGTAGATTTTTGAAACAGGCGATGATATCTCAGATGTTATGGTGTCTAATCTCCAAGATGAGGATTGGAAGAGGGTGAGGTCTATTCTCTCACCAGTGTTCTCAACGGGAAAACTCAAGAGGGTAAGTGTGATTCCAAAATTTTAATTTTTCACTATCAACCATGATTGGAAACCAAAACAAGTAACCCTCAATAGTCAATAACTATTTATAACTAGCCGCCTAAAGGCCTGGTTTCTAGGAAACGTCGGCGTCAGCTTGAAACGAACGTTTACCTCTGATTGGTTAATTTATGAGTTTGACAGCATACGTCATCGAACGCTCAGCTTGAACGACATCTGCCCTCCAAATCAACTGCAGTTGGATTACAACGTGACGTTAACAACAGAAGCAATGGCGAACAACAGCCAACAACAGAGCATTGAAATCAGCCAAGATTTTAATTTTAACATTAAACGTAGCTTCTTTTTCCTCTTCTTTTTCATTTAGCTAAGCTATGATGTGTTTTTTCTTGGACAAAGTCATTATTTGTTCTTTAAAGTATTGGTCGACAATCACAAGATCAATACAAATTCAAAATAAATATTTGTTTACGCTATTAACGCATTCGCAATGCAAGATAATGTCTGTATTGGACCGACTGCTCAAGCTGAGCTAACAAAAAGGTATTTTTATGGCGTCAAAATTATATCAACTTAAGGCTGACGCCCAGTTAAGACGCTTCTCCTAAGAAACCAGGCCTTGAGCTAACAAACCAGTATTTTGTTGGCGTCAGGGTAACGTCAACTTAACGCTGACGCCCAGATAAGGCGCTTTTCCTAAGAAACCAGGCCTTAAGGTGGCCAGCTGTCCGCCACGCTAAAGGTTTTCACAAATAAAGTTTTTTAAAACATAGCATGAAATTTGAAGATTAGTGGACAATTAAAGTGTTCCTGTTCTGCAATTTTGTCTTCATATCCAGTTCTGCTGCAGATGTGTTACAGCTCTTGAGGATGTTTGAAGATGTAACTTTGCTATGGTAACCTAAGGCCTATGGTAACCTAACCTATAATATAACTATCAGGTGAAGACTTGTTTTTTTTATTAAAAAAAAGGCATCAGAAATTGTAAAAGAACCCATTTGGAGAGGAGAACAAAATGTTTCTCTTTTTATTTATCAATAATGTGAAATACAGAACAAACCAATGATAAATAAAAAGAGAAACATTTTGTTCTTCTCTCCAAGTGGGCTTGGGAGGACAGAAGGGTTCAAGAACTTCTGCCCGTAAATGTTACTTCTTCTTTTATACGCATGGACCACACCCAAACTTTATAGGAAGCTAGCCTCCTTCCCTTGTGTTTATTCTTTGGCTTTAATGCGATGTAAATAAAAGTACCGTACCGTATAAACGGACCCATAAATAAATTGGTGAAACGGGAAATATAGATTTTTTTTCAATCTTAATCAACGTTACTAGCTGAAAAATGAAGGGGGAATAAACTATTTTCTTGAAGTTTTCTGAATCCATTGCAGAGTAATTGTTATTTTCAGGAAGGGAAGTGTATGTTTGATGATTCAAAAGTGGGGGCTACTTGTTCTGGATATAAAATCCTGCCCAAGGGAGATGTGGAAGAACTGAAAAAGACGGTGGCAACTATTGGTCCTGTAGCAGCGGCATTCAACGGACACTTGGACAGTTTTCATGACTACAAGTAAGGATTTTAATTTAAAGAAGACATACAATCTCTGTTCAAAGGCTGAAGTAAAGGGAAGCAAATGAGTTAATGTGGTTACATTTTTACTATGTTAACAATTTTTTTAAAAAAAATAGTTTATAACTTATTTTTAAAAACTAAAGAATACAGGTTTAATACTCATATTTTGAGAGTCAAAAATATAGTGTGAAAGATAATAAAATTACATTTTTTCCGAGAAGTACGCTTCTGTGTATAATTTTGTAAATTAAAATATTTTCTGCACTAATTAATTATGTAATATATTTTTTTGACCGCCGACCCAATTTCTTGGGTTTACGACAACTAATGTTCAACTCCTTAGCCTTGTAATTTTGAACACTAACCAAGAGGACAAGGGAATTAACTCCAGAATCAAGTACAGGGAGAAATTTGCCTTCTTGGATGACTTATGGATGGAAGTGATCCGCATTTGCGTTACATGGAGAGGAAAACCACGAAATCCTCCCACGGTTAGCCTAATGGCAAAGGGACTTTAACCCATGACCCGTCTACCACTAAGAATATTTTACGTCAGTACTGCGGTCGGTGCGACCCGGGTACTGAATTCGAATCGACCAGGAATTCGAACCTGGGTCACCTCATTGTTAGGCGAGCGCTCCATTCCGTGAGCCGGCAGGATTACAGATTTTTGTTTTATTTTATAACTGTCGTTGAAACAGTAAACCCAATGTTTTGTGCTTACGACTACTATGGTTATAATTTTTTCTACTCGTTGTAATTTTTAACCCAACCGAGAAGACAAGGGAACTCGTGGATCAAGAATAGGAAGAAACCAGCCTTAGTGGAGGACGTTTTGGAGGCGGGAACTAACAGTACTTTGCAGTACTAACAGTACTCATATTTGCATTACTTTGAGAGGAAAACCACGAAGACGACGCTTAGTTAACCCGACGGCAACGCATTCTAATCCATGAACCGTCCTCTACTGATGATATTTTTTCGTCAGC